TACTTCCTTTACTTCTCCCCCCCCCTCTCTCTCTCTTGTTTTTTGGTACCTGGGATCAAACTTGGGTCCTTGCACTTTTGAGGCAGACGGCGGAACCAGTGAGCTAAATCCCCGACCCTCCCTTTCTCTCTTTTTGAGACAAGATCTCAATATGCTCCCCAGTCTGGCTTGAAACTTTTGGGCTCCAGTGATCTTCCTGCCTCAGCCTCCAGAGTAGCTGAGACTACTAATTAAAAACTTACCAGGCCGGGGATTTAGCTCAGTGGTTCCAGCGCCTGCCTCGCAAGCACCAGGTCCCAAGTTCGATCCCTGGTACCAAAAAAACACCAAAAAACAAAACAAAAAAAACCTACCAACAAAGAAAAACCCAGGCCCTGATGGATGTACTGCTGACTTCTACAAGAAATTTAGATTAGACCTAATGCTGCTACTTCACAAACTCTTTAATGAAACTGAAAGGGAAGCAATACTCCCAAATTCATTCCTGTAAGAAAGCCCCATGTGGGGCTCTAATGATGGTTTCCTAGTCTCCTCATTCCTTGTACATTTTACTCACTGGGTATCTTCTATAAGGTGTCTTGGTCCCTCCTTCCCCTGCTGATGTATTCAGTCAGTTACTTGTATCAGTATGGACTCGCTGGTATTTAAATTCTGGGATTACAATGATATTTTCAATCTCACATCAGTTGCCATCATTTTCCTCTAATCTTCTTGATGAGTTGCTGCATTCTGTTTGCCAGTATCTTATTGAGGATTATTGCTTCTATGTTCATTAGGAAGATTAGCCTGTAATTCTCTTTTTTGGTTGGATTCTTCTCTGGTTTGGGTATCAGGGTAATGATTGCTTCCAGGAATGAATTTGGGAGTATTGCTTCCCTTTCAATTTCACTAAAGAGTTTGAGAAGAGCATCATTAGGTCTTCTCTAAATTTCTTGTAGAAGTCAGCAGTGCATCCATCAGGGCCTGGGCTTTCCTTTGTTGGTAGGTTTTTAATTAGATCTTCAATTTCATTGACTAATATTGGTTTATTTAGAATTTTTATATCTTCTTGATTCAGCTTTGGTAATTCATATCTATCTAGAAATCTGTCCATTTCTTCTGTATTTTCCATCTTATTAGAATACAGGTTCTCAAAGTCATTAGTGATGATCTTCTGGATTTCTACAGGATCTGTTGTGATTTCACCTTTTTCATTCCTACTTGCATGGTTTGAGTCTTTTCTTTCCTTTTTTGGATAAGGTTGGCTAAGGTTGCTTGTAAATTGCTTATGGTGAGTAGCTTTATTGCTGGTATTCACAACCCCTAGGAAATTACTATTTCTCAGAGATATCTTCTAGGTGTAGCTAGCTCTTGGGTTTTGAGTCTGTTGCAAGATCCTACCCCTTTAATTTATTGGGGTTTTTTAAGTGGGGGGATCAAACTCAGGACCTTGTGCTTGCCAGGCAGTGCTGCACTGCTGAGCTACATCCCCAGCACCCTCTTTAATTTATTGGGAATGAGAAGTTGCTGCCTATTTGGCCTAGGCCCTGGTTCTTTGGCACTGGCCTATAGTATTGTTTATGACCCTTAGGCAATCTCAGTCTTGGCATACCAGGAAGAACAATTGATTAGCACAATTATGTCACCTTGGCTAAAGCAGTACAATCAGCAACAACAATAGCATCAAATACAGCCTAGAAAAATGACAAATCTTGTCAGCACTAATTTGCCACCTTAAACCCTATGAGCTAGCTTTTTGGTTATATAACAAAATCTGAAACAAACCAGAAAATGTATACAGTAAATACGGCCTCAATATGGTGATTTTACACTAGGGGGAGAAAATTTATAAGAGGTTAGGTGGAAAAAATAGAGGAATAGAAGAACAGGAAGAGATTAGAAGCAAGGCTGGAGAACAAAGGAAGATCATACAAACTTTGGGAAACTGGTGAAGATGACAGGAAGGAAATATAGAATGAAGAAATAAAAACAAGAATAGAACAGAACAACAACAGTAACAACAGCAACAAAAACTAGAAATAAGTGGCATTGCACCTGCCTCCCAAGTGCAAGGTCCTGAGGTCAATCCCCAGTACTACAAAAAAACCCAAACCAAACCAAAACAAAAAACTAGAAACAATGTTCACACTTATATAAAAAGAAGAACAAAACAAAACAAAAACAAGAAAAGAAAAAAAGAAGAAAATAAGAGGAAAAAAGTCCACTTCAAGGCATATCTCTGTTGTCACTGGTAGACAAAGTGGGCAGACAAAGCCCAGATATATGTTGATTAATCCTAACAAGGCAGCTGCAGATTTATAGCAGGGTAATGGGTAATCCCAGCAAGCCTGCATCTTTAGTTCTGTAGCTTAGGCTAGTTTCTGGCTGTGAAGCTGGAAGCCGTTTTGATCAGCTTGAAGCACTGTGTGCCCCCTGACGGCTTGAACTTGGCTCCTTGACCTCCTGCCTACCCAAACTCTGGTCCGTCTCACCCTGATGCAGTCAGCCCATAGCTGCTGAGTTCAGAGCTGAGTTGGACCCTCTTCAAGATGGCTAGCAGCCAATCACCCTCTCTTAGGGGACATCTGAACCTGAATAACTCACCAGCCACGCAGTCCACTGCATCCACTGCTCTGTTCCACTGGTATGTTTCTTTGTGGAGGCCTCTGGAGTCACCAATAGACACAGTGTGTCTGCAGGTTGGAGTTGCTCTTCCCACAGTGAGTGAGGGCTCAGGGAGAGAGTGCCACTTGCTGCCTCCTTCTTCTTTGAAGTCTCTCTCCTTGTGGGCTTCAATTCTTGATTCAGATCCTTGATAGATCCCAGGGATCCACTTCCTCCTTCTCTTCCTCACATCTCTCTATTCCAGCATCCAGACTCCAAATCGCAGAGAGGCTGTTTCCCTACTGTTCACCACTCTGCCATCTTCCCAGAAATCTCATTTTCCTTTGAAAACCTCCAAAAAACTTCACTTTATGCTTAAGAGTAAAATCTAAGTACTTTACTTATCTATGAGA